GAATAGTGCCCCATCATTGGTATCAGTGGGAGGAATAGTGCCTCATCATTGGGGTCAGTGGAAGGAATAGTGCTCCATCATTGGTATCGGTGAGAGGAATAGTGCCCCATCATTGGTGTCGGTGGGAGGAATAGTGCCCCATCATAGGTGTCAGTGGGAGGAGGAATAGTGTCCCATCATCGGTATCAATGGGAGGAATAGTGCCCCATCATTGGTATCAGTGGGAGGAATAGTGCCCCATCATAGGTGTCAGTGGGAGGAGGAATAGTGCCCCGTCATTGGTGTCAGTGGGAGGAATAGTGCCCCGTCATTGGTGTCAGTGGGAGGAATAGTGCTCCATCATTGGTATCGGTGAGAGGAATAGTGCCCCATCATTGGTGTCGGTGGGAGGAATAGTGCCCCATCATAGGTGTCAGTGGGAGGAGGAATAGTGTCCCATCATCGGTATCAATGGGAGGAATAGTGCCCCATCATTGGTATCAGTGGGAGGAATAGTGCCCCATCATAGGTGTCAGTGGGAGGAGGAATAGTGCCCCATCATAGGTGTCAGTGGGGGGAGGAATAGTGCCCCATCCTTGGTGTCAGTGGGGGGAGGAATAGTGCCCCATCCTTGGTGTCAGTGGGGGGAGGAATAGTGCCCCATCCTTGGTGTCAGTGGGGGGAGGAATAGTGCCCCATCCTTGGTGTCAGTGGGGGGAGGAATAGTGCCCCATCCTTGGTGTCAGTGGGGGGAGGAATAGTGCCCCATCCTTGGTGTCAGTGGGGGGAGGAATAGTGCCCCATCCTTGGTGTCAGTGGGGGGAGGAATAGTGCCCCATCCTTGGTGTCAGTGGGGGGAGGAATAGTGCCCCATCCTTGGTGTCAGTGGGGGGAGGAATACTGCCCCATCGTTGATGTCAGTGGGGGGAGGAATTGTGCCCCATCGTTGGTGTCAGTGGGGGGAGGAATCGTGCCCCATCCTTGGTGTCAGTGGGGGAGGAATAGTGCCCCATTGTTGGTGTCATTTGGGGAGGAATAGTGCCCCATCGTTGGTGTCAGTGGGAGGAATAGTGCCCCATTATTGGTATTAGTGACACCAATGATTGGGCACTATTCCTCCCACTGACACCAATGATACTTACCTTGCAGACCCCTGCTCCAGCCTGGGCTCGCTCGCTCCCTCCCTCTCCCATGGTACCGACACTTACCTGTCAGCTGTCTTCCTTCTCCGGCCGCTCTCCTTCTCTTCACTCGCTCGATCTTCGCGGTGCCGCTCGGCTCCTCCTCTCCAAGCTCCACCTCCTTGCCAGTGATTGGCCGCCTGTGTGCCTCTCCTGAGCTACAGTGCCGGCGGCCAATCACAGGCGAGGATTGATCTCGAGGTGTGTGTCCAGATGACAGGGGCGGCATGTCATCCCGCCCACACCTGGAGACGGCGGCGGCGAGGAGCAGTGTCTCGGTTCCTAAGACCATCGGAAATATGTGTTTTCCGATGGTCTTAGGCGACCCCTGTGGAAGCGTCGTTCGACCCCCAAAGGGGTCGCGACCCCCAGGTTGAGAACCGCTGCCGTAGAGGCAAGCAGATATACTGACAGATCTGCAGGAGACCTGCATGGCACCAGCTATCTGTTGATCGCTGGTGCAATACTTTACAGGCTCCTGCAGCAAAAAAATAATAAATGCACATTTTTTCTTTACTTGCAAAATATGAGCATTTTATTATTTTTTATTAAAAAGGTGAACTTATCCTTTTAAAGCTGTTTTACACAAATATTTTGTTTTCACATTAAGCCTGTTAGTCTTGTATGTATTGCAGTTGAATTGTGTGTTCATGTAGATAACTTCTGTCCCCTCCAGGATCCAGATTACAGGGGTGAAGCCAAGGGGGAGATCATGGCACACACTGACACCTATTGGAGAGGAACATTTATTTCTCTTTGGGGGTCTCAGTGCAGAAAGTGTACCACTAAGTGAGTAAAAGTGATTACATTCAAAATAGTTAAAATAAAAATATTAATGATGATAAATATGACTGTGATCATGTTCCTCTAAGGATAGCATGAAGGCCATCTTTGCTTTTCGCGTGTTATTTTTCCAGGTGACGGGTGGATATATAGTCTCTCAGCCAGTGAATGGAAGCAGTTGACACATTTAGATAAGGATCAACCAAGGTAATCTACTCTACACAAGAGAGGATGGACACAAAATGTTGCTTTAAAGCAGTGTTTCTCAACTCCAGTCCTCATGGACCCCCAACAGGTCATGTTTTCAGGATTTCCATTATTTTGCACAGGTGATTTGATCAGTTTCACTGCCTTAGTAATTACCACAGCTGTTTCATCTGAGGGAAATCCTGAAAACATGACCTGTTGGGAGTCCATGAGGACTGGAGTTGAAAAACACTGCTTTAAATGAAGTGCCCCTCAGTGCTCCAAAATCAATGGTGGCCCAGCTGCACATGATTCCAGTGTCAGGTTTTCTTTTCTGCATGTGGCCTGGCTGGGGTGATTTTTCCATCACTTCCTTTCCTCCTGGGGACAATGTTGGTATTGGAAAAGGAAATGAGGGAAAACCTTTTGACAAGTATAGGGTGAGCATTAGGAAGCTGGGGGCATTTCTAGCTGTCATCTGGTTACTAAACATGTTTTTATTGCTGGATTTCCTGTTTGGATAGTTTTCCCCTAACTCAGCCCTTCTTAACTCAGGCTCCTCCATAGCTTGCTACAGGTTCCTTGAGACCAGAGCAGTGGTATATTGATATCCTGCCTACACTGGCCACCAATGTAAGGGACCACATCTACGCTGACCACCAATGTAAGGGACCACATCTACGCTGACCACCAATGTAAGGGACCACATCTACGCTGACCACCAATGTAAGGGACCACATCTACGCTGACCACCAATGTAAGGGACCACATCTACGCTGACCACCAATGTAAGGGACCACATCTACGCTGACCACCAATGTAAGGGACCACATCTACGCTGACCACCAATGTAAGGGACCACATCTACGCTGACCACCAATGTAAGGGACCACATCTACGCTGACCAACAATGTAAGGGACCAAATCTACACTGACCACCAATGTAAGGGACCACATCTACACTGACCACCAATGTAAGGGACCACATCTACACGGACCACATCTACGCTGACCACCGATGTAAGGGGTCACTTCTACACTGACCACCAATGTTGTGGGTTACTTCTATACTGACCGCCAATGTAAGGGACCACATCTACGCTGACCACCAATGTAAGGGACCACATCTACACGGACCACATCTACGCTGACCACCGATGTAAGGGGTCACTTCTACACTGACCACCAATGTTGTGGGTTACTTCTATACTGACCGCCAAGGAAGAGGTCACTTCTACACTGACCACTAATGTAAGGGGTCACTTCTACACTGAACACTAATGTAAGGGAACGCTTCTACACTGACCATCAATGTAAAGGGCCACTTCTACACTGACCACCAATGAAAGGGGTCACTTCTACACTGACTGCCAAGGAAGAGGTCACTTCTACACTGACCACTAATGTAAGGGGTCACTTCTACACTGAACACTAATGTAAGGGAACGCTTCTACACTGACCACCAATGAAAGGGGTCACTTCTACACTGACTGCCAAGGAAGAGGTCACTTCTACACTAACCACTAATGTAAGGGGTCACTTCTACACTGACCACCAATGTTAGGGGTTACTTCTACACTGATCACCAATGTTAGGGGTCACTTCTACACTGACCACTAATGTTCGGGGTCACTTCTACACTGACCACCAATTTTAGGGGTTAGTTGTACACTGACCACCAATGTTAGGGGGTCACTTCTATACTGATCACCAATGTAAGGGATCACATTTACACTGACCACCAATGTAAGGGGTCACTTCTACACTGACCACCAATGTTAGGGGTCACTACTATATTGACCACCAATGTTAGGGGTTTCTTCTACACTGACCACCAATATTAGGGGTCACTTCCACACTGACCACCAATGTTAGCGGTCACTTCTATACTGACCGCCACGGAAGAGGTCACTTCTACACTAACCACCAATGTTAGGGGTCACTTCTACACTGACCACCAATGTTAGGGGTCACTTCTACACTGACCACCAATGTAAGGGGTCACTTCTACACTGACCACCAATGAAAAGGGTCACTTCTACACTGACCACCAATGTTAGGGGTCACTTCTATACTGACCACCAATGTTAGGGGTCACTTCTATACTGACCACCATAGTTAGGGGTCACTACTATACTGACCACCAATGCTAGGGGTTTCTTCTACACTGACCACCAATGTTAGCGGTCACTTCTATACTGACCGCCACGGAAGAGGTCACTCACTTCTACACTGACCACCAATGTTAGGGGTCACTTCTACACTGACCACCAATGTTAGGGGTCACTTCTACACTGACCACCAATGTAAGGGGTCATTGCAATTTTCACGATCATTGCTTCTTTTTTGACAATTATTATTGGTTTATTTTTTGAATATTACTGTATGTAAACCCCATTCTTTAGTCTTCAGTTTAAAACCTCTCCAATTTACTGAAACTAATATGATAATATACAATCAGCTGTAGCTCTAGTAATTTTAGTGTTCCTTGAGACTTGACAGCTATATCAAGGGTTCCTCCATGGCAAACAGAGTTTGAGGTAGACTGCCCTAACTTCCTGTCACAATGACAATGCTGCAACTGGTATAGGACGTGAGGGGATGTGTTCCCAATGGGGACACAGAGAGCAATAAAAATCTATTAGAGTTTCTTACAGGAGAGTGGAACAAGTACAAAATAATGAATATTTTGCATTCCTTTACTAAAGTGCTTTGCTCTTTCAAGCCTAATCCAGTATATTTTGTTGCCAATTTTACTTAAAGTGTTACTAAACCCCGGACCCTGCATTCCCTATATCTGGTCTCCCCGGACCCTGCATTCACTATATCCGGTCTCCCAGGACCCTGCATTCCCTATATCTGGTCTCCCCGGACCCTGCATTCCCTATATCTGGTCTCCTCGGACCCTGCATTCCCTATATCTGGTCTCCCCGGACCCTGCATTCCCTATATCTGGTCTCCCCGGACCCTGCATTCCCTATATCTGGTCTCCCCGGACCCTGCATTCCCTATATCTGGTCTCCCCGGACCCTACATTCACTATATCCGGTCTCCCAGGACCCTGCATTCACTATATCTGGTCTCCCACAGTACACAGAACATGGAAATGCAATTATTTTAGTAAATATAAACTTCTAAATACCTTTTCTCATCAGCAGTATATAGCAGTGCTCTATGAAATTGCATAACCCCTGATCCTCTGTCTGGACAGTGCTGATTGGCCCTGTGCTGATCACATGCACTCTCCCAAGAAAAAAGAAAAAACTCTAGCAGTACACACCAAACTGAGCATGTGCAGAGTGTCTCTGAGGCTGTGCTCTATCAGGAGATGAAATGAGGAACGTGAAAGAAGGGGAGGATCAGAGAAGACAGGATCAAGCATCCATTTTACACAATGCGGAGGATTAACACCTTAAGTATAACAAGCATGCTTTATTGCATATATAGACTGATTTTACTGTTGTGGGTTTAGTAACCGTTTAATGTGGAACTATGTGTCCTGCAGGTGAGCTCTCCCTGTGCTGTGATTTCAATGCAAACTTTTGTTTCCTGGTTTCAGGCACCCAAGCAGCACAGTGACTGCTAAACGCGTGATCTAGATCTCGTGAGAACTTCCAAAACTTCATGAGCCGCTTACATTAACTGATCATTAATACATTAGAAACCAGTGCTGGGTATACATGTGTTGGACTTGAGTCCTGTTTTAAAGGGAACTTCCCACATGGAAGAAATATATTTTTAAAATAATCTTCTCAAATATATTGACATATACTTGACATTCTACAATTTTGGCCATATTCAATATATTTCAATAAATTAAAAAAAATACATAAATAAATTTAAAAAAAAAAAAAATATATATATATATATATATACACTCTGTATGTTGAAATGCGTTTTTATTACAAAATATCTGAAGAATTTAAGAAAATATCTTTTTTTAAATATATTCTTCAGATTTTTTTTTAACATATAAAAAAGTCATTTTAACATATTTTACATATATATGTAAATGCATTCCAAAAATGTGATTTGTGCTTTTAAAGACATACAGTATTTTTAAAAATATTTTTCATAGATTTTGTAATAATAACGCATTTCAGCATACACTGTGTGTGTGTATATACACCCTGTTCCAGATTTGTGAATGGACCGGCAGTCTTCTGGGACCCGTCATGTGTCCCAGAAGACAGGGAGGGAGGACAACTCCGCGGAAGTAGCTTATCATTGATTTTTGCTTTGTTTTGGTAAATAAAGCTATGTGATTCATATTGTGTCACTACAGAAGTTGCATGGGCATGCTAATTTTACTTTTTATGTTTCTAGACTCTGGCATACGGCCTGTCTGGGCAAAGACAGTGAAGTCTTCGTGTTTGGCGGCAGCAAGGATGACCTGCTCTCCTTGGATACTGTTAGTAAAGAATATAATAATAAAAGATTAGAATTATAAAAGACAGTAATTATGAATCTCTGACACAATAAAGTGGACGCATTCATTTTTAAAAGCCCAGCAATCCCACTAAGACTCACACTTGCCATGCCTTCCCCCATTACACCATTACTTTGTTGGAGCCTTTGTGAAATATCCAGTGTTTCTAGGTAGGAGAGAACATGTGACCTCCACCCAGGATGCAACTCTTGGGCATGAGTGGCCAATTTCCATGCCTAAATACTGCCACGTGGGGGTGACGTCATCAATCCCTACTGAACAGCATAGGGAAAGTAGATATGAGTGGAGAAAGGGGGGGGTGGTGGCGTTCAAGAGATGTCACTATACATATTCAGGGCATTCTAAAGTCTAAGGATAAGCTCAAATGTGTTGAGATTCTAGTCTGAATCCCACTTGAGTGAGCCCATCAGGATCTGTCACTACACTGGGCCATTCATAAGCTGCCAAAGGAATTCACCACCCTGCAGTGAAGGATCCTGTAGTTCACCTTTTCTTTACTCTTCCCTTGTCCATTCACAAAAAGACATGTAATATTTCATGTAAAGCAAAGGATTCTGTTACTTGAAAAGGGGAGTTCTTATCGTTTACTGATTGACTTCTGTTCATCCCCCATGTTGGAAAATTTCCGCTTGATCAATGCTGCAGGCTATAGTCTGCAGCGTTGATCAGTGTATTCTGATGGTAGGGATCTCTCCCTGCTGTCAGAATACAAAGACACAGTGAGGAAGATTCCCCCATCCACCTTGAGTGTGTGTATGGGGGAATCTAATCTGTTTTTCTTTTTGTGTTCAACCCACTGGTTGAACAAAAACAAAACTATCTTATCTATGGCTAACTTTACTTTGAGAGGTGTTTTAACCCTTTAACTACTCTATCCAAAACAGAAAAAAAAACAAAATTGGCTATACATACAATTCTCTAAGATTTATTGGGGGCTCCAGCCAACCAGGCTTAATTGGGGATTTTGCATTGAAACGTTAGTGATATTTTTCAAGGGGAACAAAAAGTTGTATACTTTTGAGTTCTTTTTTGAGATGACTTTCACATTTTACATGCTTGCTCTTTTAGGCTCATATTATGTAAAGTATAAGGCTTCATGCACACAAGGCGTTTTGATAACGCTGGTAACGTTAGCTGTGTACAGTCACGTTAAAAACGTGAGTTCTGCAGCTTTTTTTTAGCGTTTTTGCATTAGCATTTAGCGGCGTTTTGCTTTATTTTTCCTCATTTGCACTTTTTAGCAGTTTTTTTCATCCAAAATAAGTCCGAAAACGCCGGTTTGCTTCATTTTACCGGGGTTTGCCACGTTTTTCAGCGTTAGAGCGTTTTTTACAGCTAAAAAACTCCTCTAGAAGCCCACTAGTCCTGGGTTTTATCTTGTAGCCAAAAAAACAGTGATTACAGTCTGTGTGTGCATGGACACATAGGATAACATGCTGGGGGGTTTACTAGCTGTAGAAAAAAATGTCAAAAGCCAAAAACAGCCTCTGTAAAAACGTCCCGTACGCATGAGGACTAACCCCTGCTTCACATATATGCATGGGCAAAATAGCCCATTCATTTGAATGGACTCCTGTGCCCCATGACACATAGGGAAGAAGTCTCTGCACTTATTCTGAAAACGCAGCTCGCAGGGGAACCTCGGTTCCCAGTACGGTTGTGTTTTCCAGTGCGGGTGGCGTGCCATTAGAACGAATGGCACCCACCCGTGGGTCCGCATTTCTCTGTGGGGGTTGTGCGGCTGCACGGATTTTCATGCGGATCTGCAGCGGCACCACCCGCATAGATGTGAACCTAGCCTTAATGTAGAGATTTGTAGATTAGCCACTAGAGAGAGAGTAGGCTAAGTACTGCAGTGACTGCTTAGCAACTACTGAAAGATATCAGCCACATGGTGAGTGCATTGGTTTTAGTGAGTCGGCCAGTTCATGGATTAGCATGTTAAAAAGGAGCTGTAAGGCACAACCATTGTGTAGCATTGCTGAACAGGAAATATGACTGCCCCTGTGTACATACATGGAAACAAGGTTTTTAAAACATTAATACACATTTATTTTATTTATTTCAGGTACTTATATAGCGCTGTCAATTTACGCAGCACTTTACATATATATTGTACAGTCACATCAGTCCCTAACCCTCAAGGGGTGTACAATCTAAGGTCCCTAACTCACATTCATACATACACATACTAGGGCCAATTTAGACAGGATCCAATTAACCTACCAGCATGTCTTTGGAGTGTGGGAGGAAACCGGAGTACCCGGAGGAAACCCACACAGGCACAGGGAGAACATGCAAACTCCAGGCAGGTGGTGCCATGGCTGGGATTCTAACCAATGACCCTAGTACTGCCAGGTGGAAGTGCTAACCATTTAGCCACTGTGCTGTCCATAGATACATTTATTTATATCTCTTTTATTTGTATGTCTAAAAAGTAATACTATACATTCACTGTTGGTGTGATGTGTTTTCACCATGGTTTTCAAACTGGATATTGTAAGTTTGTGGTTTTTTTTTTTTTTTTTTTTTTTTTTTGCAGGGTCATTGTAATGATTTACTCATCTTTCAGATTCAACCCTACTCTCTGCTCAGGTATGAAAGTTTTCTCCCTTCTGTAGAATTTTGCTATGTACATTAACTGACTGTTGTATCAGACAAATGTGTGTTTGCAGAATATGACAAACCTCATTTTTAATGCTGGAACATTGACAGAAAAGAACTAATAACTAATGCCTACCCTACACGGCTCAAATTTCAGTTGATTTTTATTGCATCAGCCAAAATTCAAGCTGTCAGCACCCATGTTGGCACCACCCAGCCAGACAAAAGTCAATTGCTTTAGACCGACTTTTGTAGAAGGAACCAGGTGGAAAATTGTCAGACGAACAGTGACTGCATCCAGTCAGATGCAGTAATGTGCTGGCTGGTGCCACTGGAACTGGCTGTCAAAATACAATACCTGGCAGTATTTGATGTGGGAGGAGAAATTCATTAATCTATGGCCAGATTAAGCCCTGTGATATATCTACAGAGAGCCATCAAGCCTGTTGGTTTCATCCTCACATTGCTGCACTACATGCTTTTCTGCAGCATCTCCATTGAAGTTTATAGAACCAAAAATGCACCTTTTTACGTTTAAAAAAAGTCCCTGACCCTTTCCAAAAAACGCGGAGATATGAACCTGTCTCATAGGAAATCATGTTAAATGGACTGCTGTGCATTTCTGGAAAACACATAGGTGTGAGCCTAGACTATTATTATACAGGATTTTATACAGCGCCAACAGTTTGCGCATCGCTTTACAAAATGAAGGTGGACAGTACAGTTACAATACAATTTGGTACAAGAGGAAACAGAGGGCCCTTTTCGTTAGAGCTTACAATCTAGGAAGAAGGGTCAAGTGATACAAAAGGTAATAGCTGTGGGGGGGGATGAGCTGATGGAGGAAAAAATGGCAGTTTACTAGGTAGAAGCAGGATAGGCTTCTTTAAAGAGAGGTTTTCAGGGATCGTCTAAAGGTGGATAGATTAGGAGATAGCCGGACAGATTGGGGTAGAGAGTTCCATAGCATGGGAGAAGCTCGGGAGAAGTCCTGGAGGTGAGCATTGGATGAAGTGACACAGGAACTAGAGAGCGGAAGGTCTTGGAAGGATCAAAGAGAGCAGTTTGGTTGATATTTTGAGACCAGGTTGGTGATGTAGCTGGGGGCAGAGTTGTGGATGGCTTTGTAAGTTGTTAGTATTTTGAATTTTATTCGTTGGGCAAGTGGAAGCCAATGGAGGGATTGGCAGAGAGGGGTAGCAGACATTGAACGGTTGGTAAGGTAGATGAGCCTGGCAGCAGTATTCATGATGGACTGGAGGGGGGATAGCCTGTGTAAAGGTAAGCCAATGAGGAGGGAGGTGCAGTAGTCGAGGTGAGATAACCAGGGAGTGAATTAGGAGCTTTATGGTATCATTGGTTAAAAAGGGGCATATTCTGGAGATGTTGCGGAGGTTGAGGCGGCATGATTTGGACAGGGATTGGATGTGGGCCTAAAAGGATAGTTCAGAAACCAGGGTTACCCTTAGCATGCAGGGATGGGTTGATAGATGTGCTATTGATCATGACCGAGAAATCAGGGGAAGAGGCACGTGGGGGAGACTAAAACAGGATCAGTGCTAAGAACCTTCTGCCAGTCACTAACATGATTCCAATCTCTCTTGGAAGTGTGAATGTGATCATTAACAGAAAGCAGAACAACATTACACAGCACAGATCTCAGGAAATTTACTGCCAGTGACTGTTTGATGAGCTGCACTATACCCAGAAGCAATGAATAACACAGAAATAAGATGAAAGGGTACATACATATATACAGGGTATAACAATGAACGTCTCCTATTTGCTCCCTTTCGGTCTGTTTAAATATACACTTGAAAGCATTTTGTTGTATCTGTTGATGATAAATTAAAAAAAATACCTGTTCATTCTGCCAGAAATCCAGGAAGCTTGCTCCTGTGCTGTCTGCAAAGTCATCTCAAGTAATGTTATCACCCCTGCTCAGTTTTCATCTGTGAACTACAAAACACCTCCTCCCTATGTTATTAAAGGAGAAGTAGGGCAAAACTCCTTTGGCCCTACTTCTGTAGGTCACATCAGTGCACTTATTTCAGCACTCCTGTGACCAATTTTCAGCTGACAGCAAGCCAAAGCCTGCTGCTGGCTGATGTCACAGCTGGTCCAGGCTGTGGAGAGATCCAGACTTTAATTTTGGAATCCACCCAGATGTCTGGACCAGCAGCTCACTCAGCCCCTCAGCGAGCCGCTGAGATGCTAAGCCAGCTGCTTCCTCCCCCTTCACAACCTGGTGAGCACTGGAGGGGCAGAGCAGACAGCCAGGTACTGAAAGTTAACTGAGGCCCTAGAATTGAGCTTTCAGCTCTCTTTGATCACTATGTTCTTGGTCTAGAGGTGGTGGGGGGCAGCTGCAGCTGGAATTGGTGCTGCAGCCATCTAGGTGAGTATGCTTGTTTGTTATTTTCGATTCCCATACTTCTCAATTAAGATGAAGAGAGAGGGTCTTCTGT